ACAGACGTGGGTGTAGTCAGGGGATAGGTGAAGGATGATGATGATGATGATGTGAGGGCACTTACCTTGTATTGGCGATGGTCTGCATGGGCGACGTCTTCAAGTACTTCGGGCTGCCGCTGATGTCAGCAGTTGCATTGTCATTTCGTAGTCTGTAGTAGCTGTGTAGGAGTAGGCTGGGCGCTGAGCGCCAAGTGTGAGTGTGAAGGAACTGGACTCTTGTGTTAAGAGGAGAGAGTATGCTCTCCATGAACATTGGTTTTCAGTGCTACGAACCTCCATTGGTGTATTATTGGTGCAATGCTGCTCTCTGGACACGGTGTGACTATCTGGCTTTCAATGTGATGGTGTGATCTTGAATTGTCATCTCCCTGTTGCTTATTTTCCTTGTAAAAGGTTGTGAATGGAACATTTTTAAACCAGGACTTGAATGTATGTGGTTGTTGGTGATGTGATGTCCAGGTTGGCGTCTGCGTTCAGTTCATGACACAGGCAGTTCTATGCTTCACAATTGCATTTGTGACTACCTGGAAACTCGCCTTGATTACCTGCGCTGTTTTACCAATTGTAATTGCTGCAGCATTGATTTACATGGTCACACTGACAGGCCTGATATGCCAAGCACCAGAAGCATACTCTGAGGCAGGCAATGTTGCTGAGAAACTGATTATGCATGTCCGTACTATTATTGCATTCGCTGGAGAAAATATGGCTCTGCGGATGTATGCTTCTGCGTTAGAGAATACGCTAAGGTATGGATGCACAAACACACAGGCAACAGTACGCCGGTATTGGTTATTCATTGGTTCAACTTCCTCTCAAGTCAGATAGTGGGCATACTCGTTTAGTGGAGATGGTGGACGTCACAGACTAAAACACTTTCGCATGCCTATTCTAAGGGCTCATTTTGGGTCAGGACCACCCAGATGTGTTTCAGCACATGCACACACACCCTATGCTGTGGATTCATGGCTCCCCGTTATTGCACTGCATCTGTGGATGGCCTGTGAGAGAGTGTGTGCAAAGTATGGCAGGTGAACCCCCCATGGGCTGTAGTTTCGGTGCACAGGGCAGGTGGGTTCGTACCTGTGTGCTTTTTGAAATGCTTCCAGTGACACATGGCCTGTGTTCTGTTCCCTTGAGTAAATAAGCAAAATGTGTTTTCAGAGAGAATGCTGTCTCGTGTAACTCTCAGAATAGGATTCAGCGCCCGTTAAGGCTTATGCGAGGATTTAGATCCTCGGCAGTGTCTGAAGGTGCCTGCAAATATGTGCCAATGCCTGTTTATACGCCTATGAGACCAGGCTGAGGGGCCCAAGCAGAGCCTGTTCCATGTGGGCATGGATCTTCGACGAGGCCTTGCTACGAGTTTGCCCCTCGGCATGCCTCTGCAGGGCCCTTCAGCAAGCATGAGCCTGCCCTAAGTGAAGGCGGGCCCTTGAATTTCAACATGGCCTGAGTTCGTCAATTTTGGCAAAGTTTGGTGGGCGCCAGACAGTTGCCATGTGCCAGTTGGTTACATCCTCTGTACTCGTGAGAATCAGAAATAATTCGTGAGCCTTCTAGGCTCTTCCAGTAGCACAGGCAAAGCAGGGAGAACCTCATGTTTACTCCTGGGTGGTTGGGAAGGTCTAACCAATTCAGTCCAAGGCCACTGTCTGAGTGGACCTGGGCGCAGACACTTTGGCCCGATCGGAAGGTACTGGAAATACACGAGGCCCAGCCAGGCAGCAGACTGAAGGAAAGAGCTCGCCACTAGTGGCGACATTCAGGCACTAGGCAGTAGATGCGGCAGCGCTGCTTGAGCGTGCGCTCGCAGGCTGTGCGCTGTGTGCTAGCACTAGGTGCCAGGCAGTGCGCGCGGGCACTGGAAGAAGGAAGGGCACTGCTGAGGGCAGCGCCATAGCCAGGGCTTGGCTTGGACATTCAGTGGAGGCGGTGGTGGTCTTCGTGCATGGGGAAGAAGACGTGGG